GCGCAGTTTAAGCGTGCGTCTCTGTGTTTCATTCAAGCTCGGCTCTGTGTGTGTGAGGAACGAGCCTTTTTGTGTGCGCAAGAGATAGGAGAGAGAGAGAGAGAGAGCGAGACCAGCGGTACCGAAGATCGTTGTTGTTAGCTTCTGGTGCTAGCGAGCTAGTGGCCGGGTCTCAAATGTTTTGGTCACCATTAATGTAAACAATTATTTCCGAGGCACACGTTTATATGATCATTATAGTTATAAAAAAATAAGAGAATAAATGAAAAACAGTTTTGAAATAATATGACATTAAAAACAGAATAAAGTTTAAAAGGGAGTGATTTGTAAAATATCCATAAAGAAATAGTAAATCTGTTTACAGTTCTGTTTCATATGGGTGTTGAGAGATGTATCCATAGATCTCTTCATTTTGCTCTCAAAGTGCACCAGATTGATGCTTTTAACTTCAATATTCAAAAATCTTCCCGGGAGAGCTTGCCCCCAGACCCCCCTATGTGAGGTCCACTCACCACCTATAAAAATAGCACTTTACCCCTGCTTACACCTATATGCCGTGAGCTGTTATCGAGCATTCATTGTAACAGTTGCAGGTACGTTGTGTATATGCGTGGGGATTGTTGCAGTAGAAAATTCAACTGTAGCGACCGGTACATTAATGGGAAACCCTAAATGTTTGAGCACCCTCTATGAAACGTCAAGCTACCCCACAGCACCCCCAAAATAAATCTCTGGCGCCGCCACTGAGCCTGACTATTTGTGCTGGGGGGGCCCGACTTTTTTTTTTCTCCAAAGGGGGGGCCTGACAGAAAAGGTTTGAGAACCACTGCTCTACTGTATCATGCTTTGATGTTTAAAACCATTTACATGCACAAAAACCTATACTACAAGAAAGGGAAAACCCCCAAAATGAGGGCCTCTTTAAAGAAGTGTGAAACGTGACATCTTGATGAATGCTTGATGCTGCTCTACACTCCTGGTAGTCGCCGTGTTAAACGTGTTTAATGTGTATTCAATGTTTGGCATGTGACTGCGCAGTTTGCCAATTCCAGTCATCCATCTGCTATGCAATAAAGCATGTCAAAATAAATGTGATACTGCACGTGAGGTCTGTATGATCCTCATAGCAGGGAACACACTTACATTGAAGCCCCCCAGCAGCAGCAACGTGGGCTCCAGACCGACAGAGAAGATGAGGCGCAGGATGGTGGAGGCGATGAGCGCCCGGATACCGTGAGGCTGAGGAAACACGATGACGATGGCCAGAGAAACCAGCATGGCCATCCACAGCAGGGCAGAGAGGTGGGGCTCCAGGGTCCCTGAGGAGGAAGGAGGTCACATCAGGGAGGAAGTGTGGCTCTTTGCTTTCTCTGTTTTCGGTTCAGTTATGAAGTTGCCTATTTCGAGTGAAATTAGTGAATAGTTCTCTTTTAACGTCAACAGGAGGAAAATTAAGCTCGTAATCAACTTCACAACACACATAAATATGGCTTAAAGCATTAGAGAAACTAAAGTTAATACCTTGAGGTTGTATTCCTCTGTCAACCCATCGAGTTGAAGTTTAAATTCATGAAATTGTCATAATTAGTATATTCATTTTAAAAGTTAAGGCCAAAATTGTTTTGTGTGGCCTTGTCAAAATTCTAATCAGTTTTTTTTTTTAATCAAATTTGAAGAAATTCCCTTAAGGCGTTTTGGGAGATACGGCTCTCCAGAGAAATTGACAATCAAATGGACAATCCAAAAACAGACGCATAAGAAACAACACACAAAACGTCTGAAAAAAAGGGTTTATCCATAGATTTTATTTTAAATACTGAACGCTTTTTTCTGTAATATTCTTTAGCTGCAATAAAATTATGCTAATGTTCTTTTTTTAGGTTACCACAACACTTGTTTCATTACATGCCATCATGCCATGAAAGTAAAACGACCAAACAGTAGCAGACGTATCCACTGTGAATATTGATTAATTGATCGGCTTCATGTGTTATTGAGACTAAGACCCCATCCACACGGAGACGAAAATGAATTCGATATCAAAAAAGTCTTCTGTCCACACGGAATTGGCTCTAGAAACTTGTCCGTCCACACGAGACCGCTCGACCCGCTGGAGACGCTGTAGGACATATGCCAGGCCTGTAAGTGGCGCTGTACTTCCGCCACAAAATACACCAAAAGCAGCGAATAAGACCCCCGTGCATGGTTGCCCTTCTGTTTATTCTCCGCGGTGGATTTAGCAACATGTAGTTCATGTAATTCTCCATGTCCACTTGTTGCTGATGGTTGTGGTAGAGGAGCTGTAGATTCTGCACTAGCATCTAGCATGGTCAGTAGCGCCTGGAGCACGAAAGCAACCCTGTGATCCGCCATTGTTGTTGTTGTTAGAGAAACGCATCAGCAATGACGAGGGGGTGAGCAGCAGAGGTGGGGAGAGGCGGGGCTATGGCGTCATCATTATCAGGAAATGATCGTATAGGGCGTACACACGGAGCCGTTTGGACCCCCAGAGCATTACGTCCGCAGATCTACCCACCTTGGGATGCGTTATCGTTTGAGGGCTCCGTTTCCGTGTTGGCCTCGTGTGGACGAACAGTCTTCTATACGATAGAGAACTGTAGCGGATACAACCCGTTTCGTCTCCGTGTGGACGGAGCCTAAGAAATCCCATTAGAGTCGCTTATGAAAACAATTGTTTTGGAGTTATATTATATAAGTAGAGCCTCTCTCTGTTTGTGTATATGTTGGTTTTTACACAACAGTTATGTGTTCATCTAAATCTATTATTTCATCTTCATGAGCACACCAGGCATTAACTCAATGCCCATCTAAATCCTATGTTTAAATATTAAAGTGCATTTATCTGTTGTTTTCTTTCCACTGAGGCTCTTAAACAGCACTCAGAGAGTCTCCCTACATCCCCTCCCTGCTGAGGCCTCCTTCTTCACGCCTCTCTGTGTACAGATCACATGACAGGTACTTGTTACATAACCCCCGGTTGGCTAAAAATACACTTGGCTGGAGCTGAAATCACCGTGGATGGTCCCGGGCGCCGCATTGTAACGCGCTGCCTGGGCGCCTGGACTTGGCAGCGAACCCAGAAGCAGCAGTTTGGACGTCACACACCTACAGACTCAGACCATTCATCTCTCTCGCACGCTTACTCTGCAGCCAGGCGGAGATAGAGAGACTGACCTTTACACTAAAGCACTTACTGTACACTTCACCGAATCTAAATACAGCCTGACGTTTGCTACGTGATGAAAACTGAGATTCTACTTTACGTGTGTGAGCGCCTGTGACAGGGTGGAGGCTCTGGCACTTCACCAACTTCTGATCAAGGGATACCTGACTCCACACAAACACCCAGCTGATTTAAACCACAGCACTAACCTATAGAAAGGACAGAAGTTATTCAAGGTGCTTTTTTCTAGGGCTTCAGCACGTCCGACCTCCACTATGAAAAAGCTCCTAACCACAGTGTATCTTCAAACAAACCACCTAGAGGAAACATCCACTGGCAGCATGTGAGTGCAGCTGATACAACAATGTTTAAGGGGACTTTCAGTGTTTATGTCCACTGTAAAAATCTCCATAATAAATGGATAGTTTGAAAGCTTTGAAGTGCGGTTGTAAGACGTACTTATCCACAGTCACAATCAAACAGATAATGACCCTTATCTAAAAAAACATTCTTGTCATTAAAGAAAATATGTAAAGTAAGTATAAAAGGACACTTTCACTGCAACAAAACCGTCACCCTTCTTTCTAGATGTGCAAATAAGTAAATTGGAGGGACACTTTGAAGATTGTAAATTATAATTTCTGTAGATGGTGGTCCGCATGCCAACATTTAGGAGAGACAGGAAGTGGTTACCTCAATGGGGGTTAAGCAATGTACTTCTCTGGATGGGGGTATCAGCAAATAGTCTACGCAATATTTAGAATAAAAAAAAAATAATACAAAACATACTGTATAAATAAATAACTATTTTAGCTCGCAGAACACAGGATTATTTTGTCCATCACTGTCTCAAATGGTCTGAGTGTGCGTATAGTGGGACGTTGTTTTAAAGGCTTAGTAAGCATTCAACCAATGTCACCCACAATAACAAAAATGAACTAACTAATTGAGACAGCTTTAGACCAGAAAATCCTGTCTTCTGCAAGGTTCAACTTCTGTGTTGCCCGAAGGAGACTGATTGCTTTGAAGGTAGCATAGATAACAACATAAATTAACCTGAGTGATTGGAAAGGGCTACCTGACAGCAAGGTGAAGGCGTGAACACATTCCAAATACAGAAAACACTTGAAATGACATGGTTCTTTTAAGTGGGCTTTTCTTTTATGAAGCTAGAATATATTTTGCTGCTGCCTCTGTCCACAGCAGCTTTGCTCCCGTGTCAGTACTCCTCCGTTTCTCCAAATTGGACGAAACTGCCAAGGATACAAAGACTATGGATAATAATCCCTTCAACCCCACTTAAAAGCATCCAAACTATCCCTTTAACCTACAAACAATGTACAACCTGGAGTTGGTCACGTTTTTTGTTTCTTTTTCTAAGACTTCAGCACATCCGACCACTACTTGGAAAAGCTCCCAACCACAGTTTCCCTTCAAACAAACCACGTAGAGGAAACATCCACTGACAGACATGAGAAGGAGGCGTGCAGCTGATACAACAATCAGGGGATTTCCTGGAGTTTAACTTCCCCATACAATTTACATGCATACCTTTAAAAGCTATTACAATGTCTTAATTAAGTCCACTAGAGAGTCTGGATCTAACAAGGTTTACAGGCAGGTGGCTTGAATATTAACAGGAAGCTCATGTGAATTGGTGACGCAGTGTGAATGTGTGTGTATGCATGCGTGTAGACATTGAATATTCACCATTGAGCAACTTAACAGTGGCTGAGTTTTCTTTTCTTTTTACACGACTTCAGTGTCCTGGAATGAACTGTTAAGCTCCCAGAAGACCTTTGACACTTCAAACCCCATGAAGTTGCTGGAGCTATGCTAACAACCTCGGTTATTTTTTTTTCTATACCGCTGTGAGGAAGTTCAAACAAAGGGGACCTCGCCGTTTGACCCCACATAGAACAATTGAAAGTGTATGCGGATCACAATGTGTGTCTTCTTTCTGCTACTCCGCACTGGAACAATGCAGGCCTTATTGGCTGCGGCTTTTCACATCCCCACAAATACTGCCCTCAAGGAGAACTAAGAAAAACAACTGAAAGGATTAAGAGAAAGCAAAACAAGCGGAAAGCTGAAACTGCATGTGAAAACATGCTCCGGTTGTCACAAAAATAATTATGTTGTGCAGGAATTGGTTTCACTCTTTGACCAAAAGAGCCATTTTGCCCCCTTTTTCAAACATTTGTTTTTGTCTGGAGCCGCAACACATATTTGATAGCTTATAAAGTTGTATATATTGTTATATCATAGACAAAAACTACAGCTTTTTTGCATTTATTATTTATTACATTTAGAAAACTGTTTACCTCTAATAATAAACAAATGTAAGGAGAATACAAAAAAATACACAGGCCTACTTTAAAATAAATTAAACACAGCACTTGGGGAGTCCTCTGCACANTCAACTACCTGGGCTGTCAAATGTCTCAAAGCGTTCTTAAAAACCCAGGAGAAAATGGTGGATTTCGGAACAGTGTCCAAACCGTTACCATGGGAACTAGTAGTTCCCATGGTAACGGTTTGGACACTGTTCCGAAATCCACCATTTTCTCCTGGGTTTTTAAGAACGCTTTGAGACATTTGACAGCCCAGGTAGTTGACGCCAATGTACTCTTTTCGTTGCGACTTTTTTCCAACGCACTCAACTCGTCAGTTGCCGCAAATCTTTTGTTGGTTTTGTGGTCTGTGTCCATGTCCAACCATTCATCAATACTGAGGCCCCCCAACAAATCAAAATTAACTTTAAAATCTGACATTTTGTAGCTACCGATTTCCAACGAGAGACAATGTATAACAGTGTAACGTCTGTGTGTCGCTAAACGTCGCTATGGAAACCACACGATGTAGGCTCATGGAAGTAGTTTCGGTAGGCTAGTGGCGTGTGTAGGCCACTGGATACTTTCTGATTAGGCACGTTCTATTTGATCGTTGTTTGATCGTGGAATCAAACACGCCTATTGACCAATCAGAGAGCTTGCTCAAACCTATGTGTTATAGAATGTACAGTCATATCTGTACATTTAACTGCATTTCTTGCACTTCCGGTTGGATGCTAACTGCATTGCGTTGCATTCTGGTGGTGGGTGTTGGGTGTTTACCAAATGTATAACCAAAACCAGAAAAAGGTCATTCTTAGTCCACATTTGAACATATTGTAATCCAATCTCTAAATCCTCTCTTTTTCCAGCTCTTCGATCTGGTGTACAGAGAGGAGACCTTGCTGAACGTAATAAAGAGTGTGACCCGCAATGGCCGCTCCATTCTCCTGACCGCCGTGCTGGCTCTTATCCTCGTCTACCTCTTCTCCATCGTGGGCTACATCTTCTTCAAAGACGACTTCATTCTGAATGTCGACAGGATACCCAACAAAACACTAGGTACGAAACAGGTTGTTACCTCTCACTCCCTAACCGGGACAGAGATAAATACCTCGCCCTTCACTGAACCCGGGGACAGTCAAGAGAATAAACAAGGAATGTTTCTCTGCAGCAAACACACACAATCGCAGACACACACACACACACACACACACACACACACACACACACACACACACACACACACACACGTATGTAGATGCTTATGACTCTTTCTGGATATCTCTTCCCAAACACATCCGTGACTGCAACAATCTGTCTATATTCAAATTTAGAAAAACATATTTAATTGTGTTTTATGTTTTTACTCTTTCTTTTTTATGAATGATCTGTATTATTATTGTAACTTTTTTTATTTAATTACATTTAAAAAAAAAAAAAATCTATAGAGCATGGAGCCAGTATGGTGGGAGAGTTCTTCTCTGGTGGAGTCTGCCGGAAAGAGAATGGGGAGAACTGTTCGACAGAGGCTGTGAGGGAAGGTAGGGTGTGTGTGTGTGTGTGTGTGTGTGTGTGTGTGTGTGTGTGTGTGTGTGTGTGCGTGTGTGTGTGTGTGTGTGTGTGTGTGTGTGTGTGTGTGTGTGTGTGTGTGTGTGTGTGTGTGTG